CTTTCATATATCCTACACACTACAGGTGATCATAGTTAAGCCCATTTGAGCCTTTAAATGTGAAGAATTCACAAAATACACCTGTCAAGAACTACCCCACAATGGGGCAAATTTGGAGATTTTGATTGATACTATTTGGTAAAGAAGATGGGAAAGACTTCTTTGCTCTTATATGCATTAATCTTTTTGTGGTAACTTCAGGTGAGTCCTTATGGAAGCTCGAAGCATCCCGAAATGAATAAGAGCGTTTCTTTCTATACCCAAACACTCGTATCATTTGCTTAGCCAAGTTGAGCCTGAACATTCATTTCAAAAGTCCGAGTGGCGATTATCTTCCCACACTAGGGCAAGGCACATGATTTATCAAAGCAATTGGTGCCTATGTGACAACGTGTAAAAAAAATCTCGAAAGTCCTAGGAGCTCAAAAGTTTCAAATGAGCAGAAGTCAAATGAAAGTTAGGGGGCATGAAAAAGCAGTGTGCTTGATAAAAGTAAGACCAATGCCCATAAATAAAAAAATAAAAATAAAAAGAGAAAAGTCGCATCAAGAGAAAAGTTCTCATGTAAAAAAAGATGTCAAAAGAAAAATGCTAGCAAGAAAAGAAAAATTATTGCAAATGCAAAAGCCATTAGAAAAATAGCAAAGCTCTTATGCTGAAATGATTAGCCGATGGACTTTCGAGACAAGTCAAGGAGTCATGCGCCTTTTAAAAAGACTGGATGATATGGTAATGATGCCATGATAATCACCCGCTCTTAAATCTCTTTTGAAAAACTTGAAGCCTTTTGAGCCTTTCACCAAACCAACGTTACAACCCTTTCCAAAGTCTCTTCTGATTGGGATGGTTCAAGCAAAAATTTGGACTTCTAAAGAAGCTACCGCTTGAAGAAGTAGGGGCAAAGTTATATTATCCCATCTTAAGGTTTCTTGACTTGTAAACCTAGCGGAGATGCTGATTGACAATTATTTCATTTCTCAGCCACTGATGTTCATCCATTGTTGAAACCATGACCAAACCTACACTACAGTCCTTCAAAAGACCTCTTAGATTGGTTGATGCATACTTATCGTGAATGATTCTCAAAGCCTTCGACATTGGTAATGCGAAGTATACTAGAAATCAGACTATTTTCCACATCAATGAATGGGATTAAACTGCCTTCTTAAGAGTTGTGAGAAGCCATTTCCAACTATGGAGCTCTTGTTTGGCATATTTAACAAGCCCTTTTCATGAGTCAAGATCATTTTGACAAAAACCTTTCTCTTAAGGGAATTTGATGATTAATGACACTTCTCAAGCCTAATGGCAATTTTGTGATATTGAATGATGCAAAATATTTTTCAAACAATTGAAACTAGCTTGAATTGCTCATGCAATCAACACTTTCTCAGTGATGATATTCTTTTAATATTGTCTCTCAGGATGTGTACTCAAATGACAATGATTTCGCCTGGTATGCCTTCGCTACCAAGGCGTTTGTTATGACACATCCCGTTAGATTGTGCAGTGACCACTTCGAAAGATTCCAAATTGACAATTGCGATAAGCCTTAACAGCCCAGAATCATTGCCATATGGCAAATTCCCCCTAGTGAAGTTGACATACAACAAGCTTCAACAGCCGCTTGAAGCACTTTCTCTACACGGAGCTTTATCGTAGCCCGTAAAGTTGCTTTTGGCCTGTTCATTGTTGGGATCCTCCACATTTTGAATTGGAAATATTGGCCTTTCAAGGTTTTATTCCCCCCATCTTAGCTATTCATAGGGTCTTAGTCCCTAGGCGGAGTCTTTGACGTTCATAGGGCTTTAGTCGCTAAGCATTCCTTCAAGGTGTTATTCATATTGCCGATCATAGGGCCTTAGTCCCTAGGCGGGACCTTTAAGGTTTGTGGTCCAACCTAAAATCATGATTCAAAAGGTTTGTGGTACAACCTAAGACCAAGATTCAAAAGGTTTGTGGTCCAACCTAAAACCACATTTCAAAGGGTTTGTGGTCCAACCTAAAACCACACTTCAAAAAGTTTGTGGTTTAACCTTAAACCATACTTCAAAAAAGGTTTCGGGTCTTCCCATAAACCCTGATTTCAAAAACGTTTCAGGTCTTTCTTCAAACCCTGATTTCAAAAGGTTTTCTTTTTAGTCAAAACTCATTCTTACATGATGAGACTTCATTTAGCCAAAAACCCGTTCTTACACGGTATGGCTTCCTTTTCGGTCAAAGTCCGTTCTTACACGGTACGACCTCTTCATTTAGCCAAAAGCCCGTTCTTACACGGTATGGCTTCCTTTTCAGTCAAAGTCCGTTCTTACATGGTAAGACCTCTTCATTTAGCCAAAAGCCCGTTCTTATACGGTATGGCTTCCTTTTCGATCAAAGTCCGTCCTTATATGGTACGACCTCTTCTTTTGGTCGAGACCCATTGTTACATGGTGAGACCTCTTTTTGTCAAAACCCATTATTACATGGTGAGACATCCTTCTCGGTCAAGACCATTTTTATATGGTAAGACCTTATCGAATAAAAGGATTCTCCTGTTAGGTGGGCATCCGCAAAATATATATATCCAATCACCCCTCATGTCTTAGCCATTGTGCCATCCCCTGCAATACGCCAGCAAAATTTAGGTGTCTTTTATCTTTGAAAGGAACCTCTTCGAGCTCCCATTCAAAGAGGGGCTGTTGTTGACACCTAATTTTTGCCTATCCGTTTTAGGTTAATTACATATAAAATTAGGGATTAATTTTAACCTCTAGACAAACATAATTTCATTAAATTGCATAGTATATAGACATTAGGTGCATTTGCATTAATGGGGTCTATTAGATATATTTTTCTTTAAAAATATCAATAAAAAAATCAAAAATCGAAAAAAAAAAATTCAAAAAAATCTGGGCGGTCTGACCCGGTTCGAGTGGACCGGATCAGCCCTGCCCGGTCTTATTCCCCTTTTCCCTTTCTCGCGCGGACCGGCTCTGCCACTCTCCCCTTTAGCCCGGCATGGTCCACCTCCGTTCCCCTTCACCTTTTCTCTGCAAAGAAGCAGAGGGGAGACGTTGGTACGAGGGAGCAAAATGGAACGCGTTGCAGAGGGAGAGGTCACCCAGCGGCAGGGGGCGTCACGCAACGCCGACAATGTCAGAAGTGTAGCCAGTGGTCCTGAAGAAAAAGGAGTGATGTCCAGGGAAGGTCGCGACAGTGCCGAAAAAACACTACGCTCAAAAAATTGAGGGATTGTATATGCAGAACAAAACCCTTATAGCAACCAATCTAACATCTAGAAATCACAACATTAATCACACCCCCCGAACAAACATTGCATGCCCGGAAGAAGGAGGAGGAGGAGGAGGAAGCTATGGCCGACTTCTTCTTCCTCTCCCGTGCCGACAAGCGACAACTCCCTTGGAAGACCTCATTTCCCAGGCCAAGGACCTCTACGTCCTCGAGCAAATCTCCACCATCAACTTCGGCTTCACTACCACAGCCTTCGCCTTACCCTTCGGCCTCGAGCCCTTCGGCCTAGCTACTCCCCCTCCCCTTCTTCCTTGTTTTGCTTTTTCTTCTTTTGGAGTTTGACTTTCAAGTCTTTTTCTAAAACTTTGAACAGCATATTTTAGGTTCTTTAGTATCATCTAGGATGCCACTTGTGATGCACATTAGCATTTAACCGCCAAGACAACATCTTTGTCTCGTTTTTAAGGATCAACTTGGAAAACAAAAAATTGTATATAGTTTAGGGACCTAATTGAACAAAAAAAGAATCAGGGGCCAGATTGAACATTATGAGATTGTTCGGGGACCTCCGGAACCTTTATCCTTAATTCCTATGATGCACATTTTTGTTTCTTAAAATTCTTAAAAAAAAAAAAACATACATCACTTTTGAGTTGATGATTACTTATGTGCCTCTATTTTTGTTGATGTCACTCACATAACTCTAAGTAAAATCCCACGGTGAAAGAACCATATCTCCTATCCTTGTAAACTCATTTTAGCATCTTAGTTAGGATTTGGATGGTTTTCTTTTTAGATGGGTTTTAAAGTGTTTTGGGTGAGTATTAAAATTTTAGGATTTGGGAATTGTCATTTTTTTGAAAGAAAATGACATTTTCGCAAATAAGGACACCAACATAATAATCGTGAAGGTCCAAAGAACTCTCCAAATGTAACACTTATATATGTATTTAATTTTTTTAAAAGGTATATAGTTGTCATTCGACAAAAACTGAGATATGTATTTGCTGTTATCCTTTCTTAGTTTAATGAAATAAAATAATTTTGTATGTTGGTAACATGAAATGGGATTTGGTTTAATCTGTATCCTATTTGGTCTACCACCACTTGTTCCCAAGTTATTCATGATGCAACATCGGAAACCGACCAAAAAATACATTTTTATTTGTTATTTGAGGTGTATATTTGTTTTGCACACGATACAAAATGGGCGTTTATTCCATTTCTATCAAACTACCCCATTTTGCGAAACTCTCAAATAGTTATGATAAATGTTATATTGGACTGTGTTTTTGTTATAGGGAGTTATTATTCTATCCATGCCCTTATACCATTAATCAATTAAAATGTGCCATTATGTTATCATCGAACATATAATAAAATGAGTTTATTTTTAATAATATCTACTAACTTTTTTCAGGCCAAACCCACTTTCTAATTCAATCCAACCAATACACCAATCCCAAAAATACGGTAAAAAAACACATCCCCCAAGAAAAGCAAGTCTCCACCAAAGGAAGAATTAGTTTTTTAAAGCAAAATCTGCCATGCAAAAGGCCAAGATCAAGAAAAGAATCATGGAGTCCCAATGGGGACCAACCTACTCTACGTGGACCCCTACATCCACTGTCCACCGCCACGTGTCAGTCACCCTCTCACTCTCTCTCAAATATGCCCTTCTTCCCCTCTCTCTCTCTCTCTCGCTCTCGCTCTGTCCTTCTGTTTGTGCTTGTGCCAGTGCTTCTTCTTCTTCTTCTGCTTCTTCTTCTTCTTACCAAAGACCATCTCTCTCGCTCGCTCTCTCTCTCTCTCTCTCTCTCTCTCTCTCTCTCTCTCCTTTCTCTCTCAAACACGCACACCGTCATCATGACGAAGGGTCACGACATGATACCGGTGACCGATCCTTCGTCGAAGACCTCGTCGTCGTCCGCCATGAGCAGGAGAGGAGCTTACGCTGCCGCCTCCTACATGGCCTGTGCAGGTTTATCTTCGGTTCACCCTCTTTAACTTTACTCTCCCCTACGTTCTCCTTTTTTGCTCTGCAGAAAATGCTTAAGTGGTCACTCACTAGTGGAGCTTCGCTTTACTTTACTTTTCCGCTTCACGTGCACACAAGTGCTGCATATGGATAAACACGTCATGTATATAACTACTTTTCCTGTACCAACGCACGTCGGTTCACGGGGAAATGGAAGAAGGAGAGAGAAACGCGCTCTTGAGATCGGTTCTCTTCCTTATATTGGGTGTTTTCATTCGGAGGCTGAAGTGCCTCCTTGTGTTTTGAATCCGCGTGATCAAGTCTAACGATTTTGAGTTTTCCGGGACAAGCCAAATTCAACAATGGAATCTGTAGTTTTCCTACCGCTGACATAGGTAGCCAGTTTACCTGTTTGTACTGACTTCCTGTGTGATTGTGCTCGTGAATGAGCCAGTCATGCTCGAACTCGAGCAAAAATATCAGGATGTACGATACGCGCCTGGGAGATGATAGCGAGTGTCACAGTCACTTTACATTACACCAGTTTCCTTTTTCTTTTTCCTAAAAATTGTATATGAAAAAGTGGTATATGAATAGGAACCAAATTTTTACTCTTTTTTTATGCTGGTGTTTTTCCATCCAATGAATTATAGCTGCTCCTTTTGTTTTCTGAATTATGTGATAAGGTTGTGAATTTACACATGTTGGTTGTTCTTTCCAAAATTTTGTAATTGTACTTAGCCTGCGTAGTCTTGCTTTGTGAATGGGAAACTCGAGCTGTATGATCTTATGTTCCCACTACTAGTAGTTATCTTCCTGGGAAGTCCGATAATGTGGTTTTTCTACTTGTAAATTGTAGTGAAGCTACTTCTTGGTAATTACATAACAGTTATATCTTATGCAGTTCTCTTGGTAATGTTCAACAAAGCGGCCCTTTCTTCATACCATTTCCCTTGTGCAAATGTGATCACACTTTTTCAGGTACATTGCATGCCTTGACTAGGATTGTGTGTCAACTACGCAATCCTGGTCTGTAATTTAGCATATATTTAATAGGTATGTGAGTGGAGAGGGAAATGAAAGAATCAAACTCATGAACTCTTTGTTCTTGGCGTATAGCATTTTACTAGTCCAACTAGAAGGGACATGTGACAAACAATTAACCTGGTATTGGACTTTTTCTAGACAAGCTTTGATGTGAAGATACACTATTCTCGGAAAAATAAATTCCTGTTGACTATACTTTTACTCTTCTTATTTGTCTCTGTTTCTCCTTGTTAATTATTCTACAGTTGAATTAGAGATTCCTCCCAAAGCATTGCGTTTTCAAATAAACCAGATATATCATTTGGTCCATTGCGGAGGTTAAATCATATGAGATGCTCAGTGAGGCATAAGATATTGGTTGGACTTTCTTTTCTTTGAAATTCTGATTACCTTCTTATAGCATGCTATTCAAATGTGACAATGCTTTGGGGATCTTTCTCTAAACTTAGAAGTCGAGAAGCAGTCGTCATGAGATAGCTGGAGGTATTCTCACCTTGTAGGTGGGCTTTAGATTGTTCAGGAAAAGGATGTAGCCTGTGGAAGACCTTTGTTCGTGTTGATCTCCTAATGCTATGTCAGTGGGTTCTTTCTGTGGAAAGACCTGAGGTCATGTTAATCTCCTAATACCTTGGGAAGGATATGATTTTAGACAGGGTGAATGGCATGAGAGGATTTGGGTGAGGGGTGCATGCTCTTCCTTAGTCAAAGGTTTTGAATAATTTGAGGCAAGAAAAGAAGAATACCTGCCAGTTTGCCATTGATCTCTGGAAATGAAGTCTGATTGCAAGAGTGTACCATGAAGATAGTCACTGTTATGAAGTTTACTCTTTTATTATCACAATTTCATGCATTTATTTTTTTGAATTGGGTAATTTTAATGTATCAAATATTTTATCCTTGCCTTTTATATGGTCTATTCCTTTCAGATGGTATGTTCTTGTTTGTTACTGTATGCAATGAGATGCTGGGACATCATTTCTTTCTCTGCTGGAGAAACCCAGAGCATCAGTTACAACCCTGCAACACTGATTCCCCTTAAGACATTGCTTCGCACTATTCCTCTTGCGGTGTCCTATTTGCTGTATATGGTATGACTTTGCCTAGTTCGCTTGTTGTTTTTTTTTGGCGGTTTCTTTTGGTATACCTGATTTATTTTCCTTCTGGTTAAAGCTGGTCTCCATGGAGTCCATACGCGGTGTAAATGTTCCCATGTACACTATGCTCAGACGGACTACGGTGGCCTTCACAATGGTTGTGGAGTATTTTCTAACAGGACAGAGATATTCACTCCCTGTTATAGGCAGGTAAGGAACCTTCTCGTCCTGCTAAGACCTTTCCATTTTTCCTCAAGATATAGTAGGATTAGGTGACACAAACAGCTACACTTTACTGGAACGAAAAATATATCTGCTACTGAACTATCTTCCATGTACGCCTATGAGATTGTCTATGGAAGAATGAATTCACAAGACAAATAGGGAAAAGATCCAATTCATTTTCAGCCCACTGAAGCTTTTAACATTGGGAAGTTCCTTGATTCCTTCTTCCTTGGTTGAGAGGTGAAGTTTTATGGAATCGAATGTCTCATATATAGTAGCCCAATATACTCTGTTACTCGTAATGGAAGTGTCATAATTGACTGCAGAACTATTCAAGAAATGCTATCTAAGAGAGCTTAGACTCTACTTCCCTCATCTTCAATATCTGTTCACGCTCTCAAAGAGTTGCTTTACTACTGCCATCTGACTCAGATATGCCTTTTGCCAGCTTTATGGGATGTAGAAGAACTAGACAACATTTGAGGCTTTTCCTCTCTAACATTACTTGTCCGAACTTTTTGGTAAAAGAATCAGACAAGAACTGCGTGCAATGGAACATTTATTCTCTCTCTCTCTCTCTCTCTCTCTCTCTCTCTCTCTCTCTCTCACTGAAAATTAGATATTCTAGTGGAAGGGTGTTGATTTTTGGCAATCTGACAGAACATGTTATGCTCGTCTAAAGGCTTTCATCGTTCTAACCATTCTTATTGGATTATTTCCAAGGGATGCATCAGTGTGGGGATCATTATACTGAGCGCTTTTATTGCTGGAGCGCGAGACTTGTCATTTGACTCATATGGATACACGGTTGTGTTTATGTCAAACATCTGTACTGCAGTATATCTGGCTTCTATAGCCCGAATTGGTAGATTTTATTATCGCTTCCGCAATTTCTTTGTATATGATGATGCATTGGAGAACTTCTGATTCCTTTTCATTCTGTTTAGGAAAATCTAGTGGACTTAACAGCTTTGGCCTTATGTGGTGTAATGGTAAGATACATCACTAGCACAATGATCTTCTTCCCTGGTTTCTGCCACGAAGTGCCTGCTGGTCACCAGGTGTTATTGGCACATGTTTGTTTCAAATTTAATTGTCCCCCTGGACATTATGTAGGCATAATATGTGGACCAATTTTGCTGATCTGGACTTCAATCAGTGGTGACCTAGAAACGACAATGAAGTTCCCAAATTTATTTTCTCCTGGCTTTCAGGTGATTTTTTAAACAAATGAAATTCATCAACTTCTCCACAAACATGCAAACATCATTTACTGTTTTTGTTGTTATCAGAATTATAAAGCATTTACTTTTGCATTCTGCAATTACACGTTTTTTTCCCATGCTACAATACATTTCAAAAAAATTTCTCCTTTAGCCACTATGATACATCTCATCCATTTTATTTACGGGGAGTCCAATTAATTTATAATTGCAGGCTGTCATGGCACTTTCCTGCATCATGGCTTTCCTGATTAATTACTGTGTATTTTGGAATACAATGCTAAATTCAGCGCTCACACAGACAATTTGTGGTAATCTAAAGGTTTGATATGCACACCAAATCCCAGTATTACCTCTCCTCTTATGCTCAGTTATACATAGCTATTCTGATGCTAAAGAAGTATATCTAGTATATCTACTTCTTGATGGGATTATGGTTCTTGAGTCATAGTCTTGGCTGCCATTATCTCAATTTTCTTGTCAATGCTATCGGGAAGGTATTTTGTAATAAGTGGGTCCACAGCCATTCAAAAAATGTCTTCCCAGGATATTTTGTCCCTGTTGATAGTTACTTCACCAGAATAATTGCTATTTGGTAGCACTGTTCATACTGGAGTTTGATGTCATGGACACTTGTTCTCGCTTCACTTTCTTCCTTGGAGTGCTTTTGCTGGTAGTCGAAATCAATGCACTGTAAGATTTTCAATTAGGTGACTATACTCGACCATATCTGAAATATTGTAAGGTTATTTCTCCTTATGCTTTGACTTGAACCATAGTTTGTTCACAAGGGATAAGCAAGAAGATTCGAATCGTAATTTGCATTTCCTGTGAGTATACTGAAAGATGCTCACAGACTTTCTTTTTTCTTAATGCCAACTAGAGTCAAAATTGTCATTCTTGCACTATCAGACGTCTTTAGATGTTCTACTCTTATCTTTTTCTTTCTTTTCTTTGTTTGTAAATTTAATGTATTAATAACTTCTGCTTGATAGGATCTTTTCACAATTGGACTTGGCTGGCTAATGTTTGGTGGGCTCCCATTTGACTTGGTAAGTATAAAAGCCTCAACTGCATTCCTTCTTTGCAGTTTTCATAGTTTTGATTGTACAGGAGCTAATTTCCACCGTTGCTTCCAGTTGAATGTCGTCGGCCAATCACTTGGTTTTCTAGGGTCCTGTCTGTATGCCTATTGTAAACTTCAAGGGAGATAAGGTGATAAGCAGCTTGTGAGATTTTTGTTTTCTCTGATGTAAGTCTATCAAGTAATCAACAACCAAATTTTGGGACGAAGGTTACAAGTATAGTTGAAATTCGAACCGAAACCTGAAGACTTCTCTAGCATTCATTAAAGAAATTCACAAGCTAATATGAGAGCTGAGCTTTCCTATAAGCATTTTCAGTAAATTTATGAAACTTCTCTATTTGGTCGTAGGCGGTATGTAAATTTTGTATGATTCTAGGGTAATGGATCATTTGCCAACTCGGTTGGTGGAGGTGTGGTGGCACACTTCATTTCCTCAATGAGAGACCCAATTCTAATCGTTGTAATATCCCAATGTTGCCTGGTTCACATTTGGCTATTTGCCTGAGGAAGTTACTTAGAGAAGAAGGGTTGATGGTTGAAGACTAACAGTCAGTGGGCAGCACACCCTGACTTTATTTTTGTTTTTGGCTTTATTTTTATTTTTTGGGCAAGGATCCTCCCTCTTAAATCTTTTGAAAGGCTTGCCTTCGCTATCCAGCTTGTTCGTCCCTACCGCGGTGCAATTAGTGCGGCAAACTGAATTATGTCCTCACGAGACAGTACACATCTAGTGCAAAAGAGACATTGTTGTTACCTGGCCACTGTTTTCTTCCCTTCGACATAAGTGATGTGGTCCTGCTACAATTCTTTTGAGATAGACAAGACATTAAGGATAACCTGTGAGGGAAATTCAGAAGTGCACAGAAAGGTAGAATTTGAGCCATTTCAGACCAAGTACGAGACGTGATTAAGAGGAGAATGATAAGTTGAACAAATCGCTACATCTGACTAGCATGCAATAGTTAATCACATTGTCCTGTCACGGTGTTAGACACGGTCCTGGCATGCTCATGTCCTGTTCACCCTTAGAAAAGGAGATCCCATTGTCAATCCCTCGTTTTGCTCCCATCTTTCTCCCCTGTCCAAGAAAGTGAAAAGGCGCCTTTTACCCCAGTTATGGCAAAGAAGATTCTTCTGTCACTTTTGATTTCTGCTGGATGGACATTAGATATCATGGTGTCGGCATTGTATGGTGCTTCGAATATCGTCTCTTTGGATGAAACTGTTTCCTCTTCCCTCTCCTTGCATTCTAATTCCATCGCCATCTCTGCATTTGCTGATGTATGCATTGTTCTGTTTCTCAGCGTACTATTTTTGTGCTGGATTTCCATGTGATGTTTTTCCCAAAGTAGCATTCTGTCTGTGTAAGGTCACGTATGTATATGCAACTGCATGAAATGCATTGGTCTCAGATACTCGTGTGTGAACGTCAAGAGTCTCTCTCCCTAGAAAAAGGTGGCTGTAGAGAGAGAGAGAGAGAGAATGTGGGGGATAGGGCGTGTCTGTGCTGTCTCCGGAACATGACAATGGACTTTGCCCTGATTGCTGGGCATGATTGAGACATATTCATCAAACTTCAAGTTCAACAACTTTCTTTCTTTCCTGCTTAGCCCAAAGAAAGGGGGCTACAGAAAACTCTCTCTCCTCGGTTCTTTCCCTCTTCACGTTCGAGATGAGAAGTCGAAATCTCGTACCGTGTCTCTACCACGAAGCGACCATCGACTGTGATCTTTGGTCTCATTTAAGTCTCCGTCATTGTCTCGGCCGTTCAAAAGCAACCTTAAAGTAGCCGTGTATTGCGTGAATATTGCTGCATCTAACGACTCTAAATTATTAGCGGCCGCAAGAAAATCGATCAACATGTCATGTGAAAGCATGTTCGCTTTCCTACATCGTTATGTTGAATGCCGCCATCAACTCGACATGTCCCTTACTCCCTTGACCTTCACGAAGCTTTTCAATTAGGGAATGAAAATGAAGGCAAAAGCTTCACGGTCTTTTCAACTAGCGCTCCACATACCGTGCAACTCGGGCAAAACTTCACTTGGATACTCTAAAGCCTCTAAATCTTTATCGCGGCAGATACCTGCGATCGACCAAATGATATGCAAACTTCATATTTTCAAAGGAGAGTTGTAAGCAATAAGCATGGAGTTGCTAAGCGCTTATTTCCCTTAATTTCGAATCGCCGATTAACAGGCGGGCCAAGCAAACAAAAGAGCGAAGAGAAGTTCATAAAAAGTTAGGAATAACTTGTTCCATACGAATAAACATTGCGATGACTACTAGATGGATTGATGGATGGATTAGAAAAAAGTGGCGCAATTGCAACTTGCAACTTTGGAGAGAAACAATGAAAGCTTTTAAAAGAAGGAATGATGGCGGTGGGGAAAATACCAAGCTGAACCCAAAATCATGGAACTAGAAGCTTTTTTGACCTCCCAGCTTTTGAAAGAGGTGTGTTTGTGTGTCTTGTCGTTTGAAAGAGAGGTAGGGGACACATTCAAGGGGATGAGAAGTCCCAGAATCTAGTGAAAATAGTAAAACAAATGGATAATATTACAAATGGTCTCTAATCTTTGATCTAATGAGTAATGTCGTCCCTAAACTTTTAATTTGTGCAGTGCAATGCAATCCCTGATCTTTGGCTCAATTACGATTTCGTCCATAGACTTTTAATTTGTTTAATATGACCCATGAACTATTGACAATTGTTCAATGTAATATCTAGATTATATGAAAATGTTTAAATTTTCGGGAACTGCATTGAAAATTGGACCAAAGTTCAAGGACAACACTGGATAAATCGAAAGTTTGGAGACAACATTGCACATTGAATCAAAGTTTAATTCAAAGATCATTTGTATCATTTTCCTAGAAACAGACAAGCAAAGAGTTTGACAAATCCTGAAAACTGGTCTTGTCTTTAAGGCGTGGGATGAATCTGCCTGGGGGTTGTGGCACGCGAACTTATCGCGCTAAATCAGTCTCGAGAGAGAGAGAGAGACGGGGGCCTTCATCTTTTTTACGAAAAGGGTCTTTCACGATTCCCCAAATTCTTCAAAGAGAGAGGATGCATTGAAGCTTTGAAAAGATTAAGAGTTCGATTGGAGTGATTTCATACTTTGGCCCATGACTTTTGGGATCTAATTCGTTTTCCTGGACTGTTGTTCTGGTCGTGAGTTCAATTAAAGTTTCAGTGTTTAGGAGTCGTTAATTTTGTCAAAATTTGTCATAATTTTAGCATCAAGAGAAAGTATTGGTACTTAGATGGCATGGTGGCAATTCGACTTTGAAAATGGTTTTCATCTGTATCCCGGATAATTTCAATTTGAATCGTACGTGACCATTAATAAATCATTTAAAGTTCATGACTTTTAAAATTCAGGTATTGCAATTCTATTGGTTCCATATTTTCATAGGAATATTATATCCTAATCCTACCTCCCAGAAAACTCATACTTATTGAAAAGATGATGTGACAAGTTGAATAGTGCCCGAAGAAGTGAATTAATCTAATATGCATGAAAACTGACCCGGACATCACCCAACAGCTAAATACAAATAATGGAAAGAACTATTCCTACAAGTGATGGCAAGATCTTTCACATGTCTAGTCAAGTTTTATGCCAAGAGTTGTAGAGTGTGCCCTTTGAGTTTGAGATCTATTTATAAGAAAATGGAATTAACACTACACAAGCAAAAGATTTTAATTTAGATAATAATGGAAGAATTTATCCATAATAAATTTCATATACATAGTGTTAAAACGTAGCCACACGTATATTGAAAGTTCAATCATTCTATAAAATAGATTTTAACTACACATCTTATCATATCTTTACATATCGGACGTAAAAATAATTCTTTTTTCATGGTAGGTACATAGAGTGAAAAAAAAATCCAATTCCCTTTTTCCACCCGTGGTGGACAAAATAAATGCTGATTGAAACCACAAGAGGGACACAACATGCAACAACAACAAAAAAATAATAATGAAGTGAATCGATCAAAGTGGTCAGCAAAACCCAAGAAGAGTGTCCCCTAGTGCTCATGCAAGCTCAAGGCAGGGCTACTTTAACGCCGGTGTCTCCGGTGCTGGGTTGCCTCTGCCTCTCTAGGCCTCCACTGTTCGCAAAGTGCTTTTGGTTTGTGTTCCATATCAGACTTTGTACGTACTCCTTGGAAACTTCTTTCTAGACAAACAAACTTATATAAATAAACCTGTTCAGCTTCGCTGACATTCTGCACTCCTGTTCTCAAGAACTAAGATTCTCTCCTTTCTCCCTACGCACTCATGTTATTTGACCCACGATATCTCTTAATTTAAGTCTCCCTAGGCATCAGTTTCTCCAAATTGTTTATAAGGTTTGATGTGTGAATATTCGAGCACTGGAAAATACCTGAACAGGACTGCAGAAAAAGCGGGTCCATTACCTTACCTAATCTTGCTTACTCCCTTTGCGAATTTTTCGGATTTTAATACTCGGTTTTCTTGACCACCTGTGATGGAAGAACAATTCCTATCTTTCAGTATGATATTCGAATCTGGCCATGTATGTAACACCTCTGCATTTACAGAATGTTTGGCTCTCGAATACGCAAACAATCAGATATTGATACTGCATGTGCTTAAGAAGTCCTACTTGTCAACACATACGAAATGCAAGTTCAAAAGATGTGATTACATTAGACTGCCTGCCTCTAAGCACGCTAGCCACTCACTATAGCCTTGGTAGTTAATAAACTCAAGGGATGTCAGTTTCTGTACTTGTCTGCTTCTCCAATCTGGCTTTTTGGCTAGAGACGTAGCTGCTATATATTCAATAAGTTGAATAGTGGGTGTTCCATTTAGCAAGAATTAGGTCATCTTAAAATCACAAACACAAAAGTATGTCAACCACTAGTATCATAGCGGTGATACCGCAATGGATACGTTGCGCATGACATAGAGCCAATTGGTGTTAGGTGATCTCAAGATTAGTATATCTTTCCAGGTATTTGTAACAATGTTTTAGCTAATGACATATTGATTGCTGATTAGAGTTTTAGATAAAATTCCTATATCCCGTCCCCATGGGTATTGAGATTTCTTTATTTTTTACGCGTTATCTTTTTCTTTTTGTTATCGCAATTGCTTTGACCCTTTTAAAACCTCCTCGTGACCAAGATGGAAACCTCAGTCAAAAAGTTCATTTAATTTTTCTAGACAAGGCGAGGCCCATGGAATCAAAATGAGCAATTCTCTCTTTCCCTTCACCAGGAAAAGCATAACCTAATCCTACCACTTCAACATGCTGTCAGGGACATGCATTATTCGGTAAAAGGACACCATGGAATGTTCTTGATCATAAAGTGTCCACCCCCTCCTTTATAAGTATTCAAACATAAGAATGTCCCTTTCTGATAATCAAAAGAGTGGGTTCTCTTCATTCTTCTTTATGATTAGTGTCTAAATAAGTAA